GTAGACATGCTTGAAGCACAGCTCAAACAGAAGTCACTATCCGTGTTTCCATCCAAAGTTTTGACTTTAACTTGAGCGCAAAATTAGAATGTCGCATAAAACATTGCGAATAAGCACCGTTTCCATCTGACAAGTCAATGAGAACAAAAACAGCACTAAATATCACAAAGAAAAGTGTGAGAAGCCACTGAATATAATAATTTTCATAGATCTTGCGCTTCTTGCGCTTCAGAGCGAGCAGACGAAACACAATGAATGCGGTCATTGCTTTCGGAGGTGGATTGGGAACGCGTCGTGTAAGCAGGGCAGGATTTACCTCTTTTCGTGACATAGGCAAAACATGGGCAAAAGGACCCCCTTCCCTATTAATATGTTAGGCCTAATATTACCATCCAAGCAAACAAAAATATTTCTTAATCAGTGGAAACCGTTACAGTGTTTTCTATCGCAATAAGCGCTTGCGATCAGTCAATAAAAATCGAATGTAGTTCTTCATTTGTTTGAGAACTGAGAAACGCATCAACCATTCGCACAAGTCAAAAACCACCTCAAGCGAGCGTAAAAACTTTTATGCGAATTAAGGGATTTTTATTCGAAATTGGTTTCCATCACTCATTTCTCATGCGATACTTCAAAATGCGCATTAAAATAGGGTGATGGAAACATAGCTAGTGTTTAGTTCCTGAATGAATCAACCGTTTAAATGATTTGGTTCAATCGCAATGACTCACTTAACAGTGACTTGCTGTCACCTACTGGCGGTTTTAATGGATGCTTAGAGGGACCCCCCCAAGAGCTTTGACACAATTCGAACACTGAATTTAACATAACAGTTTTCTATTTTAATATTTCTGATAATTCCTGTGAAGCAAAGCTGAATATTCAGCATCATTACTCAGGTCTTCAGTGTTACATGATCCTTCAGAAATCATTATAATATGCTGATTTATAATCAATGTTGGAAACAGTTGTGCTGCTTAATATTTTTTTTTTGGGACCTGTGATATTTTTTTCAGGATTCTTTGATAAATAAAAAGTTAAAAAGAACAGTCTTATTTTGTGTTACAATATACACTACTATTCAAAAGTTTGGGGTCAGTAATTTTTTTTCTTTCTTTTTCGTAAAGAAATTAATACTTTTATTCAGCAAGGATGTGTTAAATGGATAAAAAGTGATGGGAAAGACTTCTTTTTGAATAAATGCTGTTCTTTTGAACTTTTCAAAGAATCAAAGAAAAAAGTATAGCAGGTTCCAACAAATATTAAAAGGGACATAACACACAGTTTCACCCAATCTAATGTTAATCTTGAGTACCTATAGAGTAGTACTGCATCCTTCATATCTCCAAATAGTCTTTAGTTTTATCATATTCATAAAAGAAAGATACAGTTTTTTACGATTCTCTCTGAAAACAGCCGAGCTTGTGGAGGTGCACTGTGGGAGGAGCTAAAGAGTCACGAGCTCTTGAGCGCCGATTGCCAACAAAATGCAGAAATTTGATGCAGTTTCTTTTACTATTTACATTTACATTTAATCATTTAGCAGACGCTTTTATCCAAAAATAGGACAATGGAAGCAATCAAAATCAACAAAAGAGCAATGATATACAAGTGCTATAACAAGACTCAGTTAGCTTAACGTAGTACATGTAGCAAGACACACGATCTATCCGTTATTTGTTTGGGCGAAGAGCATGCACGCGATGCCTCCGAAGGGGCAATTGGCGTGCCCTGCGAGCGTTTTTTCCAAGGGAAAAGCTCCGCTCTCCTTTGTCTCTCTTTTCGAGGAAAGAGGGGCACGGAACTGCAAGCCAAACTTGTATGAAAGGAACTCATCATAAATGGAAGTACAACGGAGCATGCTGTAATATTTTGCTTGTGCCTTGCATCAGCCAAACATTTAGTTAAGCCATTCAAACAATGAAATAGAAAATAACTCTGAATATGTTATATTGTGATGTTATATTGGTATAATATTACAAAACGAAATATTATAATATTACTAAAAATTGCATTTCACAAACTAATGTAACGTCTTCATGAGGTTATCTCCTACCTTTAATGGTCCTTATGTGGTCATGATGCTGCTTCCACTCGCATCCGCAGAATGAAAGCAAAGTGGTTAGAATGAGACAGTTAAACCCTCCCAGTGCGCACAAATCCTCTAGGTTTCTGTTGCGTGGAAAGAGCCTGTTTTGCGAAAATGAAACCTATCCATTCACTGTAAGTTCAATTAATGACCTTGGGGGGAAACAAATGTCTTTTAATCAGATGTTGCAAACCAAAAACGGGAATAGCCTACTCGAAAACAAAAATCTTGCGTGCGTCTTTAGGGCACTTTGTATTATTAAAACTTTTTTTTGGTTAAAAATGATCCAAAATCAATATTTGAGCAAGTACATAACCAGCCACTGTTCAAAACTGTCGCCTTACTTTAGCCCGATTCACAACGGTTAGTTTATAATAATGTTTTCTAATTTGAGTGGTACGAGTAGGTTTTCGCGGGAAATTCGAGCATGCCGCTGCGTCATTACGTCACGTCTGTAAACATAAAGAAGTTGTCCCGGCTACTAGGCTATCACATGTGAGGATCCTGCAGGTGGCGGATCGTTTATAGCGACAATATACGGTGAAAATGCTTATTTGGGTCATATATTCCAAGACGTAGGCTAGAATCTGTGATTGCGAAGTACAACATCCACACCAGTGCGGTGACTGACAACCACACACACATAGGCTACTCCTCAAAACATTAGATTAAAGGCTTTTTTATACTTCTGCGTCGGACCTACGCTGTAGCCTTTACGCCGTATGCTATGCGTCAGTTTTCATTTATACTTCTGCGTTGCTGTCCGCGTCAACGTGCAGTACACATGCAAACCGCTAGTCGGCAGTGTGCACGGGCATGTTGCTGGTGTAACCCGCAGTACCACGGCAAAGGCGTATAAACTACGGCGTAGGTCCGACGCAGAAGTATAAATCAGCCTTAATCCGCGCTGGAGACGTGGCGGAGCACAACCCAAGATAATTCCGCAAACAGCTGCAATTGCAGGTTTTCAAACAGAGATGGCGACAAAGAGGCAAAACTTACAGACTGCAGCTTTTAATCAGTGTCAGTCATTCGCAAGCTCAGCTCCGTTTAAAATAAATAAATAAATAAAAATAATAGGCTAATAATAATAATAATAAAACTTTTTTTTTTAGTTAATATTTAACCTGAGCAGCACACTATGACGAGGGAGGGTGATGACATCTAAATGACTAGAATAGAAAGAAAATAACTTGTATAAATGGACAGAAATAATAATAATAATAATAATAAAGAACATGTATACTATAGGCCTACTCGTCACTCGTTATACGTAAAAAAAAAAAAAAAAGGAAATTAAATGAAAGCCTTTAAATTCTTAGGACATTCCATTTTAATCTATTATTATTTACAGTGGCAAAAAATAACTTTAATAAATGTAGGTTAATTTTTGCTGAAATTTGTCCTATATTAAGGCATTTATAACTACATAAGTAGCCTAAATATAACTAAGCAATGTTCTTGCCATTAGACAACTTTTATTTTGATAGCATGACAGGCTGCTTAGGCAACTCTATGGCTTCCACGAAAGGCAGAAACTGATTTTCCTTTGTGTACAGCACCAGTGATAGCATCGCTGTCAGTTCGTGTGATTTTCGCAAAAAACAGAAAATGCTTCTTGCATTACATGTCGCCATTCTACATTAACGACCGTTCATCTGTGCTGATTTAGCGTAGGCTATAGAACCACAAGACAATTTGACGCGAGTCGTATGCAGTGAATAATGTAGCGAACTAAGAGATATTAACAAAAGCTTCAGTTATGTTTTTGGCGGAAACGGTGGAGAAAGGGGTGAGTTTGCATGTTTGCAATTGCTCTTGGATGTTGCATAATCACGAACGGGGTGCACGCAGGGGGAAATCTGTCTCAGTTCTATCCTCAAAATGTTTCCCTTTTTTTAATTCAGCCTTGCGTCATTCTGCTTGTCTCTTGTGAAGACTGCATCAGGGAACATATACACACCACGCCCAGTTACATAGCGACGAGAACATCCTCAGCTGTGATTGTTTGCTTTGTTTGAACATGTTTTGGGTGTCTGATGATAGTGGCGGTCCTCGAGACAAATTTCCAGGAAGGAGATGTGTAAAATATAAATCTAACCTGCTGTGCTCGACAATATAAAGTTATAGTATGTTTTTGTAAGATATTAACATGATCTGGTTTTGCTAGATAAACAATACACGTATAATTAACGCGTTATAATCTGAGTGTGACACGAATATAAGAAATAGCTAAGACTGGCCAATACAAGCATTTAAATGATTGAAAGGCTATGTGTAGACGTAATATACTCTCCCTTTCTTTATGAAGTCCTTTATAAATTTAAACAATCATTTTGGCTAACTTTGAAATAAGGAGGCCTAGGCTAAAAAAAATAATGTTTAATAATTTCTGGATGTTAAGCCATTATCACTATGACAGTACAGTACACACACACACTCTCCAACCTTGAGCTGAGACATCAAATGCCAGGAAAAATACATTTCACCCTTTGAAGAGCCCTGCATAAAATTTAGGCTCTAGTAAAATATCTGCTAGCTAGGCCATATGATAATGTATTTGCAATTTGCTCGCAAAAATATTATCATATCAGTCCTTACTTTAACCACAAGCTGATTGAAAGGATTTGTCAGTTAATATTTAACTTTAATTAGTTATTAGTTTTTTTTTTGCCTTTTCCAGCTGCATTTTGACAGAAACAAATGACATATTGCATCCAGTCCATCTATTATTATATTACATTAGTAATATAATTGATTAAAACATCCATATTCCATTGTTTTTATGTTTATTTAGAATAAATATGTGGACATTTAGCCATCCTTGCCTCCTTGGATGGACCGCCACTCAATGATGCCCTTTAATTGCACCTGTAATAAATGCTGAAGTCACTGTACACTGAAGAAAGAAAAAAAATGTAAAAATAATTTTCATTTAGAAATTGAATCAATTTCATAAATAATTATAAAGAATTAGCAAGTGACACATTGAATTAAAACATTAAAATAGAAAGTGGAATGACTAAAATAGATTTATTTGGCATAAAAGCAAATACTCCTATGCATTTTATTTTTTTTGTTACAGCATATAATCAAACTAAACTATATGTTTTGTTAATGTTTTTTGTCATTAGGTGTGATGGTTTTTGTTCAGCTCTGAGTCATCCAACATGTCTCACTCTTCCAAGCCTCGATCCCACCCTTGTGGCCTTTGCGACAAATCTTTTGCCCAGATATCCATGCTCACCAAACACCAGCAACTGCACACTGAAGACAAGCCCTACAAATGCCCCTACTGTGACAAGTCTTTTACTCTTTCTTCTCGTCTGGTTCTACATAAACGCACCCATGCTGGGGAGAAGCCTCATACCTGCCGGCTTTGCTCCAAGACCTTCATCTCGTCGACCCACCTGGCCCTGCACCTGCGCTCGCACACCGGAGAGAGGAAGTACAAATGCAGTGTATGTTCCAAAATGTTCATGCAGGCGTCCCAACTTATGCGCCACAAGACCATCCACACTGGCGAGAAACCCTTCAAATGCCCAGATTGCAATAAGTGCTTCGGCCGTGCCTCACACCTGAAAACCCATCGTAGGCTCCACACAGTTCCAAAATGTTCATGCAGGCGTCCCAACTTATGCGCCACAAGACCATCCACACTGGCGAGAAACCCTTCAAATGTCCAGATTGCAATAAGTGCTTCGGCCGTGCCTCACACCTGAAAACCCATCGTAGGCTCCACACCGGTGAAAAACCCTTCAAATGTACACAATGTGAAAGGGCTTTTACGCAAAAGGCCGGACTTATTATACACTTGCGCTTGCACACAGGTGAGCGCCCTTTTAAGTGTGACAAATGTGGCAAGGCCTTTCGCACGTCAGCCCACCTGCTTAGCCATCAGGCTTTGGAGCTGGGCGAGGGAAGGTACACCTGTGCCACGTGCAACAAGGGCTTCAGGTCGGTGTCCGTGCTAAAACAACACGAGAAAAGCCACCAGGGCAGCGGGATGCTGTGTTGTAGCGTGTGCTCGGGGGCCTTCGCTCAGTCCTCTTATCTGCAGCTCAAACTGCACTTACAAAACAGAGAGCAGCTCTTCCATTGCAAGGTGTGCAACAAAATCTTCGTGAAGATGTCCACTTTTGAGAAACACTGCAAAAAACATCAGACAGAGATGGACGGATGTGAGGACGAGGAAGTAAAAGAGGAAGATGATCCCCCATTTGAGCTGCATACTGCTGCATCCCCAACGCCGTCGACGTCAGAAGTCAACACGCGCTCCAAAACAAGAGCCAAAATTAAGAGTACAATGGAAAGCTCATAAGAATGGACAGGCATAACATTCACTTAATGTCTTTCTGTATTTGTGATGTATGATATAAATTATGCTTTCATCTGCTCTTAGTTGTGTAAAATAATAAAGATAATTCTCTGCATGCATACAATACAGACCTATAGACCACGGGCAGTTGTACAAAAACTTGCCTTTGCACAGCTTTTTACATTTAACTTAATTTAATAAAAAATAAAAAAAATTATCTTATCAAAAAGTGGTACAATTCTATATCTTATCAGCTTTGAAGATATACTGTATGCATACTTTTACTGCATACAGTTACTTTACTTGGAACCAATTCTTTAGTTCTTAATTTTGCACAACCCCATCAAAAATACTAAAACTTACTACTACACATACTATATCTAAAAATGTAAGAGAATTGAGACAAACACAAAATGTGAACCCACAGAAAGCTCCATGGAAATGAAAGGACCGTCATTAAGTGCCCATTTTGCTTCTAAGAATGTAATAACCATTCAGCAGAAATCAGCACAGAAAATGTGGAAAAACATTCACACCGGGCCAAGCCTTATGCACAAACCATTTCATAATGCACCATTTTTTTAATTTATGTTTCAGTAATACAGTAATTACATAGGTGTGCAGTCAGCTACATGCAACTGACAAATACAGAGAATATATAAATGCTTGCACATAACCCACAATACATAGATGCTTGGTCAATTCATGCAGGGTTATCATAATCCACAATGTATTATGCCGTGAAAATGATTGATTATACTGTTAATACAAAATAGATGTTTAACATTTATTTAAAATAAAAAAGTAAAATATTGTTAAAATGAATTTCTGTGGTTGTTTTCATTTTACTGCTAAATTTATATTACTTTATGTTTATTATTATGCGTATGCTGTTATAGAGCCACACAAGGCAACATCTGTGACTGACATCTGCCTGGGGGTCATCATATCTAACCAGCAACATATTTGGAATGTGTTATCAGTGACAGAATCACAACCAGTTTTCTATTTCTTTTTACAGAGAAAACTTAAAAGAAACAATGAATTTTCAACTGTACACATTTTATGTTCACACGTTCTTTCAAAAAAACCTAACTAACCTCAAACTTTTGAACTGTGACCTGTTTCGTTTTAAATATGGTGTCTAACCTTAGGGCAGGAGCGTATAATGCATGACATTTATTTAGTTATTTTCCATAAGTTACTTTTGGAAAACAACAAAACAAACAAAAACAAAAAAATTATTTTACAAGTAGGTGGTAATGGGGATTATTTTGCCCTCACTCAAATTTATTTCTAATGAGAAAAATTACTTTGCTATGTTCATCCAGCTTTATATTAAATACAATAAAATGTTAACAAATTAGTTTATTCCAAGGGCCTCACTCGATTCTTTAACTGAACGATGAGCGACGAATAGTGTGTATCGTGTGTACTCTAATAATGTTATTGTTTGATAGCAACACTAGATGGCGCTGGGTGAATGGTAATGGGCAGAGCTGCGAGGTTTCGTTGGGACTCTAATTCAAGAGAATGGAACATCTTCGTGATATTGGTCACACTACAGAAAAGGACAAAATAAATCACTCTGAGTTAATTCTTTTCAGTTAATAAATCACAGTTGGCAAACAGTTTAAACTGGTTGAAAATAAGTCTGAATGATTTGTTAAGTTAACTCATTTATTGAATGAATTATTTGAAGTTTCTCACCATACAGCAGTAACAGTAAACAATTCTGTTTTAAAGAGAGGGTAGGTGTCGCTGATTAGCCTCTGATCTGCCTGTGTGCTTTCATGTGTTTTGGAGGAGGCTTTTAAGAGTTATTATGCAGGGAAGGTGCGATCTTGCTTTCAAAGCTAGCTTGCCTTTGTGTACTCATAACCTGCAGTAGCAGATTACAGTGCACATGTGATGCATACTGTATAGCAGGGGTGGCGAACGTCGGTCCTGGAGAGCCGCAGCCCCATACAGCAGTAACAGTAAACAATTCTGTTTTAAAGAGAGGGTAGGTGTCGCTGATTAGCCTCTGATCTGCCTGTGTGCTTTCATGTGTTTTGGAGGAGGCTTTTAAGAGTTATTATGCAGGGAAGGTGCGATCTTGCTTTCAAAGCTAGCTTGCCTTTGTGTACTCATAACCTGCAGTAGCAGATTACAGTGCACATGTGATGCATACTGTATAGCAGGGGTGGCGAACGTCGGTCCTGGAGGGCCGCAGCCCTGCAGAGTTTTGCTTCAACCCTAATCAAACACACCTGAACAAGCTAATCAAGGCCTGAAGGGTTACTAGAAAGCTACAGGCAGGTGAGATTTAATTAGGGTTGGAGCTGAACTCTGCAGGGTTGCGGCTCTCCAGGACTGGAGTTCGCCACCCCTGCTGTATAGCATGGTATGAAATCTTTTTGATGCTGTGAGGCCACTTTTCACCACTAGAGATGTTTATCCATACCTTCAGTATGATGCAAGATTTTTTGAGAAACAATGTGAAGTCGGACGCTGAGGAGGTTGCTTTGTTTCTTCTCGATAGGTGAGAAAAACCGATCTGCGCCGCAACAGCTAAAGTCTGTCTAGTACAGTGGTTCCCAACCCTGGTCCTGGAGGCACCCCGACCCTGCACATTTTGCATGTCTACTTTCTCTGACACACCAATTTCAGGTCTTGGAGTCTCTACTAATGAGCTGATGACCTGAATCAGGTGTGTTTGATTAAGGAGACATGCAAAATGTGCAGTGTTGGGGGGCCTCCAGGACCAGGGTTGGGAACCACTGATCTAGTACACTGGACGAGATAAAGCGACCGTTGAAAATCATTTGAAATTTGTGTCAGTACATCATGAATATAATGCAGCAGCAGTTTTCTGTCGGGGATTTGTCATGTCATGCCGCGCCGCATCCAGAGTATATACATCTATGGTGTAGACAGCATCACTGATTATAATGAGTTCCATAGTATTTTGTCGCGCCGCGCCACTCGCGTCCGGTGTAGACATGGTGTACATTGGTTTTGTTTTGTTTCACAGAACTAATCGTCAGTGTTGCCAACTTCTTTCAATAGAAAGTAGCTAAAGCCAGTTTGAAAAGTTACTAAATGTCGCCAGATGACGTAATACGCTAATTAGCATATTCATGATGACATCGTGTCTGTTGCCTTTTACATTTGTTTGTCTCTCTGTGCTCACATACTATATTTTAATGCAGCCAAATTTTTCATTTATATATATTACTGTTTCTGTAGTCAGTCAACAGAATAAATATGAAATAGTGACTGAAATACGGCCCTATAAGACTACATAACCAGCTCTCCCTTCCAAGACGTTAATCTGCACAAAAATCCTGCTTTATATTTGAGCCATCATCTGATGAAATGAAACGCACATAAGAAAAGACAAGACAAAGACAATTCCTGTGCTGTGATTTCGGCTATATTTGCATGTAAAATTAGAGAAGCAACATAATATCTATTTTAACTGAAGGCGCTGCACCTCTCAGCCGCTCGCTGAACAGAGCAGACGCAGAGCAAGAGGTGTGTGCGCGCTGACCTCGCGCCGTTGCGTCAGTACCAGCGATCACAGAGACTAGCTAAGGTTTGTCCAAGAAGTCGCTAGATTTGGTTGTGCTAAATCTAGCGACAAAATTCGCTAAGTTGGCAACACTGCTAATCGTTGCCTGGGTTGCATACGTATGTGTGGGGCGGAGCTATCAAAATAGGGGCGAGACCCTTTTGGTGTAGGGGCGTGTTTGTTTTGGTGATTTCAAATGTCAACATTGGCTACCAGAAATTGCTTACCCCACCTTTAAATATGACTATTTTTGTGAAAATAAGACTAAGGTTCTCATATAGTGTCTCTGCATAAGGAACTCTTTCTTTAACAAAATATATAAGTATTATATAAGTATTTTAACTAAAATATATAAGCGGAAGTAGAAAATGCATATGCAGAAAACGTGTTTGTGGCTATAACTATATAACCTGCAGATACAGTGCTGTGTGAAAGGCATGAAAAGTTGTTTCCTTTTTCACCATATGAAGGCGTATAGATATTGGAACATTATTTGGGTAGTAGTGGGTGATGGACCTTAACAAATAACAGTGAAAAATTGACTTTTTTTTTTCCAACAAAACTGTTTGGAAATTCATTTGTAATTTTTAGAAGAAAAAAAATAAATAAATAGAACACTCCTACTTTCACTACCTACCTGGTATTACCCCCCTTCATTAGAAATAGCTTTCTAAGCATTTCTTATAACTATCGTTAGTCTCTAATAGTGTCACGTTGCACACACACGAGGGACGAGGAGACGCTGGAGAATATGTTGACAGGACTTTATTTGCACCAAGGAACCAAGGGGACCCTGGAGCACACACAGGGAACACTATTTATACACACAGGAGGAGGGGATGACGAGACACACCTGGGAGCAATGAAACATCAAGGGAAACACCTGGGACAAATGAACTTAACCAATCAGGGGAGGAACAGGAAACTAACCAAATAAGGGCATGGGAAGGCACATGGGGAGCAGGACACACACAAAACATGGAACAGAGTCTGACAAATAGTGTGTTTGACATTTGTGTGCTGTTCAATAAAGCTATTTACACTATTACTGTTTTAACTCTATATGTAATCAATTAAATGCTATATTGGTGAACAGAATAATAATAAAAAAAAAAAACTAAGAAAAATTCTAAAATTGCAGCCTAGGGAGAGAAAGGCAAAAGTAGGTAATGCAAAGAATGGCAGTCTCTAAAGAATTAATAGCCTTAAAATGTTAATTAATAGTCTTAAAGTAAATGCCCATGTAAGTACCAATCTTCTGGTGCTCCTCATATGGCAGTCAAAATGACTGAAATAATAATAATAATAATAATAATAATAATAATAATTCAGTGAAATTAATGTACTATGTATGTATTTGTTTGACAGTGTTTTTTATTTAATATTTTGTATTTTCTAGTAGATTTTATGGTTCTAAATTTATTATACTCAATTTATTGTCTATTGTCAATTTTTGAGCATAGACATTTTTCAAATACAACTGTACTAAATCTTGAATGCTTTGGAACACAGGCTTAAGTTTGGTCTTTTTTTAGAAGACTCTTGGCAGATTATTGCTTAAGTGTAAAAGATTAAACAAGTGAAATAAAAAAATGGAGTTTAAGTTTATTGATATGAAAAATGCACAAAAATACTATTTTCAAATTTCATATGAAATATATTTTCTAAAACACATTTTACACTTAAAAAAATCTAAATGAGGTGTGTTCCAAATGTGAGGTTGATATCTAAAAAAAAAAGCTTTTAGTAAGATTTTGTTTAGGTGCAGTACCATGCATTGACATTAAGAAAGTCACACTGATTGTCAAATCCATCACAAAACACATTTAATGACTAAACACATTTATCATAAACCATAACATGGCTTTCTTCTATACAGAGCTACCATAATAATAAAAAAGTGACAGTAGACTGGCTTTATAAACCCAATGTATTTTAGTGGTTTCAGTCATGCGCTGGGTTTTTGCAAAGAAAGCAATTTCCTCGGTGCCTTCATTGTTAGATCAGCCCAACATACTTGAGCAAAAAAAAAAAAAAAACCACAACCACTGAATTGTGATTGTTAAAGAGATCTGTTCAGAGCATCTTGACTTCCTGTCTACCATGGAAATGTCTAAACAGCATGTGTGGTGATTGACTCAGTGACCACAGTTGCTGTTGCCGGGGCTGGGAAGGTTACTTTTAAAATGTATTTCACTACAGATTACAAAATACAAGCTTTAAAAAGTAATCAGTAATGTATTTAGTTAGATTACTCAGGTTTAGTAACTTAATCTAAATACTTTAGAATACTTTGAAATACTTAAGCTATACACAAAGGAACATATTAATGTCTTGTTTTTATGTTTTCTCTAAATAAAAGTGACATCTACCAGTCATAAGATTTGCGTTTTTCTTGCATCAGTTTTCCACAGCATTTCTATGAACAACAAAAAATGTTGTGTCATTTAAATCTACCAATCAATATAAATTCAATTTAAATACAATGAATGGGATTCTGTGCTGTTTCATGCTGCATTCGAAAGCTTCAAAACGAATCCAAACACACTAAACATATCATAAAAGTAGCCAAAACAACTGGCAGTTCTCCAAGTTATACAATAGATGTGTTTAATTAATGGACCAAACTTTAAAGGGGTCAAATGTTACAAGCTCTTGGTGCATAAAGAAGATCTGCAAAGTTGCAAAGACTAAAGTCTCAAATCCAAAGAGATATTCTTTATAAAAGTTAAGAGTCAACCACGCCTACCTAAAACGGCTCGTTCTAACACGCCCCCACATGTCTACGTCACGATGTGGGAAGATTTGCATAACGCCGCCCAAATGTTCACGCAGAGAAAGAAGACGTAACTTTTATTCTCGCTGTAGTATTGTTGCTAATGTGTTTTTTTAACCTTAAACCGCATAAACACATTTCATTACACCAAATACACAAAATAATGTACTTTTTAGCAACATCATATGACCCATTTAAGCGATTACTTCACTGATAATCCTCTCTATGGAGAAGCGATCTGCACAATAGAATTGCTGAGTCAAAATTGACAGGGCTCGTTTCCCAAAGCAACTATGGTCGCAAGTAACTTTAATGTCGTTATAGTTCAGTGTAATTTACCAAACACAGTTCGCTAACGATGCTTTTGGGAAACACACCCCAGATCTATCCAGTTTAATGTGAACCATTCACACTGGTTTCGTTAAACAAAATAAATTATTCATTTAAAAGATTGAATTAAAAGAATCATCTGTTCACAAATCGGATCATGAATTTGCATTGTTGAACATTTCGAATGAATAAAGACTTCAAGTTCATCTGTAAAGCACACAAAGCTATCGTTTGACTTTATAAACTTTTATTTCATGCATGATTCGTATGGATCTGTTAACTGAATGCAAAGTGTGAATTTGTTGTCATTTTTCAATTAAATTCTTAGAAATATAACTTTTTTTAAATTTACTTAAATATTAAATTAAGAAATGACATTAAAATTCAAAGTAATCACTTTGGTAATCTAAAATACTTTTCGGATGTAACTGTAATTTGATTACCACCTATTTAAAATGTAATTATAACGAAATACATTTACTCATATTTTGTATTTTACATATGTAACGCCGTTACATGTATTTCGTTACTCCCCAGTCCTGGCTGTTGCTATTGAACTGCCTGTGAGCAACTGAAAAGAATGAATAAGTAAATGCAGGGCTGCACAGTGCGACATATATGTTACACGTGCTACGAAAAAACTGGTCTGTGCGATGAATAAATTTACCACTGTTAGCACGCGTGCGATACAGTTTTGCATGTTCATAACACAGCCGCTTAATAGTGTGCTTAATAGTGAGTTCGTTGTGCTTGTTTGTGTGTGTGAGATTGATTATACTTGGTAGTTAGGGGTGTGCGATAGGGCTGTGTATCACCAGCAAAGTCACGATACGATATGTATCACGATACATATGCCACGATACGATACATATCACGATACATGACTGCACTGAATTTCACCTCAGCAGAATTTAGAAAAACAGCTGTTT